ATCAGATTCCAGGGATGGCGCTGGTGTTGATTTTTTTTTGCATTTTACACTCGCAATCGTCAACCGAATTGATTGCAATACCCTCGTGGTCCGTTCTTCGACTCGCCACCGCGTACCTAGGCAGTCGTCTGCATACGCTACGTCTTGGAAGACTGGACTTCCACTATTTCCACATACCTGAGTCCTGAGCTTCCAAGACGGTTACATGCGATATGAGGTACCATACGCCGACCACCCTTGGCCTATCCAAGCCATTCACAAGCCTGGCAATATCATCCTCAATCCATAGAGAGATGGGGAAGATACAGTTGGAACACGAGACACTCTCAATCGCCTATTCCCAGAGGAGCCCGATTCCCCTGCTTGAAATTTACTGAAGAAAGGGAGATACATATCGACGACTCAGGGATCTTGACCAAGAAAAAGCCCCTTACTATGGTGTGGATCTCAAAGCTTCTACCGCTAGGAGATGGCACAGCTCCGAAGTCTCGTCCTAAGCAGCAGGCACGGTTATGGCCGCCTTGCTGCTACCGGTAAGTATGTGCTTAATATAACTGAATATGAAGCTACATCAAGTTTTGAAGCTAATGATACGTTAGAGGAGCAAATCACCTCGATTGACAAATGACGCCGTAGTACGCCTCGAGGGAACTCATCCCAGGGAACTTTAAGAGCAATCAATACTACAGCCGGAAAGCCTACTGAAGATTAGGGTCAACCTGGGAGACTGGCCAAGATGTCCGAAAGGCAATTATGAAAGGCTCGGGATTCATACAAGGCTTTCGCTCATTTCCCCTTTTACTCTGCGTACCCAGAATACCTCTAGAACAGGTACACGTCACCTCGCAAAATACAAACACCTCGACTGGCATACCTCTGACGTCGCGAGCCTTCGGGTTAAACAAGATGGTAGTCCCCAAAGAGGAGCTATCAATGTTCTGGGATCTTAGTGACGCCCCGGACGTTGTAGTACAACGTCAACGACTCACAATTTCCCGGAACAGGAGACTGGCTGATCCAAGTGTTCGAGGGCCTTCTTTTCGAAAACGGCTGAGATATCTGGTACTCTGAGATAGTTCGTCACTAAGGCCAGGACCTTGGTTTGCTACGACATGATCCGTGATCTGGCGGATGATATAGCTGAATGGAACTTCCAATACACCACTCACCGATTTCGCATCATTGTCGTTGAAATGACCGTAACTTAACAGATAAAAAGATCGATGGAACGGAGCTAAGTTACTGACATGTAGTACCTCTATAGACCGTTGGAAATTTGCTTCTGTGCCCTATATATCGCCACGACATTATACGTCCTGCTTAAGCTTTGATGGCTTAGACTCTACGACAGAGAAGCTTGCTATAACTGTTCTTCAACTGAAATATAACTCGACACATGCTGGGACATCACAGCCGAAATCGCCCGTGTGGGCTCCATAGCTGGAGTCATGTTATGCACACTAGGGGTTCCTATCTGTCTACTGTATCTATTGTAGACTATTCTATGGAATGAAGCCGGGGGTTTATATATCAGATACTGAGTACTGAGTACTAAGTACCCTCAAGGATGTGGGTAAATGTCAAGAAGCATCTGACTCGCATTAATGCTTGGGTTTCGTTACTGACGGCTCGCTCTTGACGACAGTAACTGTATGGTGCGGTTGCTTGGGATTCGCCGATTGTTGGTAGAAACTTTATAGGGGTGATGACAGCGGGAGGGAAGTAGGTGGCCGGAACTCGTTGACAGGATGTGGTGTTGGTAGAGCTGTTGGCGGTATTGTGTTTCGTATGGCCTTAAGGCGCTCACTGTTCTGGAATGAAGGATGCCTTACTGTACGGAGGGTTTAAGGGAGGGAAGTCTTCGTGTATTGGTGCTTCGTTCGTCAAATAGCTTGAGCAGAAATATGTTGTCGATATAGGTTTATACCATCACATTGATGAAATGAGGGCAGGGTTCTGTCAAGACATATGATTCCTTTCCTTATCCAGTAGATTCTTTTCACTGGCGGCCCCGATAGGAGTCAGAAGTTGTCGGCAGTATAGGGACGGAAAGGGGACGTCAGCTTTCATTCGGGTTCGGGTAATCAGGGGTTCGATGATTGAATATTTGAGAGCTGTTAGAAACCGGTTAGCCATAAGTTGGACACACTTTGTCTTACCTATCTATATTCAAAGGGTTTGAGAGGCATCAAGGGCTAGAGCAACGATCCATACATGAACTGGGATGCTGTAGATCACTTCAAATCGGATACTTGCCTTGATCCAACTCAGAGGGAGGGAGTGTTGAAATGGTGGCCATGGATCAATACCTTGGCTGCTTGGTATATGTACTCTGTGTAACGGGGTTTCCTTGGCAATGCCATGCCCACCATGGAATATCTTGGGTGTCAGCAGAGACCTTTCGTAAGTTTGAAAAGTATTAAAGTACAATGAGAGAGTAATGTACATGCTGGAAGCCACAGTGTATCACTTGATTCTGGTCATCAGTAAGCGGGCTGTTATGTATTGTGTTCAACCCAGAAACCTGATGTCGAATGCACATGTATTTCTCTCTCTAAACCCCCCGGCCTTCTTGTAGAATCGAAATCAGAACCCTAAGCCACAAGTTGCCCGTACTCGTCCGAAATCACATCACAAACTTACCTCGACATACACGCAGATTATCACCGAATAATCTCAACTCTAGAGGCCCAGTATAAATCTGTTATCTACGAGACTGAGAGAATTAAGAGTACGTACTTCACGAGAGTGCCGATTTGTCTCTTAAAGGACTAAGCCGAAGCTTTGAGTCCGGAAATTCATTACAAGTTAACCTGTTCAATTAGTCGATAAGATAGGTGATATATGAATGATTGGCTGCCAGATCAAGTAAGTTGAGCACATCCTTAGTTGCAAGAGACAATCTTTGATGTATGGCTTGGAAACTACATGTACGCATTATTAGGGTACCATGCCTGGCGGATAGGGTCCGCGTCCGAAGCCCAGCTGGTATTCGAACCCCTATTTATGCACTTCCATTCAGCTTTGATACGGAAAAACGCAGGCTCCCAAGGGTAGGCCGCCAACAGAAATCGAGGCGGGTGAGAATGTTGGTCGCACATAATGGAATCCAGTCTCCATAACAGTTCACTCACCTCTTAATGCGACACCTCCGGGGAAACGGTGTCACATAAGACTTAATTAGGGCATCTCATAAGCCACTGTATTAACTTCATCCCAATATGTAATTCGCTCCGTAAGTACCCGAGGCAAGCTCATCATCATGATTGCCCGTCTCGCACAAATTACACACTACTTATCTCGCCCCCAGCGGTATAGTCATCGACAGCGTCTTCTGTTCCACATACCCGTCCAGCTGATTCTCGTGCCGTATTCGCGGCGCCGTTGTCTCGAGTTCGCTAGCGTCCTCATGGTCATCAAGAGTAACTGTCGGCTCCGACGAGGGGGGTGCACCGGACGTAGTGGTCATCTCTTGCGGTTGGTTCTCTTGTGGTTGGTTTGAACCCGACGACCGTAGCTTGCTTAGATATTTCAGGACAACTTTCCGCTGCCTGTCGACTTCGGCGCAGGCGCGGACAAACAGGATGAAGTGTATAAGCCTTGGGAAAGCATTAGCGACCACGGAATAGTAGATGAATAAATAGTATGGTATGTATATGTATAGATGTATGGTACCGCGACATACGTTAGAAATACGGCGAGAATAGAGGCAGTAATAGACAGTCCGAACCAGAGGAAGCCATTCGTTGTTGGGTCGCCATAAAGAGGCATATCCAACCTAGTAACCCCCTCATCATCACGATAATAGCGCCATTGCAAGGAACCGACGGCACCTAATATGATCATGACCGAAAACGCGACGCCTACCACCGAAATGAATAGTTCGAGCCCGATGGCGACGCTTGGGCGAACGCCCGACTTTCTCTTCTGGACGCACATAACAACGAAATCGGCCATGTCGTAGCACAGCGCCATGGCCGACTATTCGAATCCACTTTGGTTAGTATTTGTTCCGGTTGGTTGGTTACATTGAGGGCGGCAGTAGTCTAAATCAACTTACGAATGGCGTTCCCCAGATCCCGAACCATCTATACTCTCTGGACACCGACAACGAGGAAATTGAGACGGCGAAGAGGGGAAGGCTAACGATGACAGACACAATTCGTATTACGAGTTTTGCGGTATTCCAAGATGGCTGGTGGGGCGACTGCCATGGCTCCGGCGTTTCATCCATAGCTTCGTGAGTATCTAGACTCGCAAGATTCGGTATCCGCAAGTGGTGTTTATGCTGACCGGGTCCTAGTGGCAGTGAGGTGCAGGAGGTAGGAAGTTAGGTTAGTTGACTTCCCCTGAGTAGCTGACCTCACCGAAACATGACGGAGGGACAAGATGTAGGCGACATTCACCGTTACATCACGGAAGGGTCGGTATCCAGTAATATCTCCCTCATACCTACCTCAGTTCTCATATTAATAGTCGATAAATAAAGGTCGCGAGTCTTGCGATCTGCACTTGTGCATTGCGAAGGATGGGGTGGCTTGCCAAGGTCTTATGGTATTGTACATCTGGTCCACTCACTGGCATCAACGCCAATGCCCACCAAGCCCAGTTAGGTCACAATATGCATGATACCTTCACACTCTTGTTTCATTGAGATCCTTACTGGACGCCACAAGTACGGTTATGTTTAAGGAATGACTAACTTCCAAACGTAAACATCTGATGCTCTATTCTACCATGAAGAAGGCGAAACTCACGTCAGCGACGAATCCTACGGCGCACGTTTAGAACGCTGTCAAATTGACAATTTGGACCGTCGTAATAGTAAGGCTACAATACAGCTGATAGAACGGTAGAAAGGGGACTGACCGACCGGCATGTGGTAAACGAGTGTCTGAAAGTAGTGCTGTTTGATCGAAACACCCAAGACGAAGAACCCGGTGAATGAAGATGGAACGGGGAAAAAGGGTGAACAAAAAATGAAATGCAAAAAGGTCACGTGCCCCCACACCGGATTGAACGATGGACCTCGACATAATCTCGTAAGATTGTAGCAGGGAACTACTACTAATACAAGTGTCGCGCTCTACCACTGAGCTATAAGGGCTCGGTGTCCAATCAGGTCTTATTTGCTGTATATATGATGTAGTAAGTCACGTGGCTCTCTTGGTCTGATCCAGGACCCCTGCAAATCTCTTGTCATAGAAAGCAAAACTGAGAGAAGCTTCGGAGATCTAGGAGACTCAAGCCCACTGGAAAGAAGAGCACGTGAAAATAGTTCGACAGATATCAAGTTACAGATACAGAGTGAATTCTCCATTGTACTGTACCTGAAGCTACGGATTGGGTACATCGTACTAGGCCAATACGTCGTACATTAGTAGCCGTACATTAGTAGCATCTAGGCGTCAAGGTATAGCATCAATGCCACATCGAGAATTGGCTTAGGTCCACACCGAGAGTCAGTCTCTTGCGGAGAATCAACCATACTGAGACTCATTTGACGAGGAAGGTCAACCCCATACCAGGGATCAATTCCACAACGAGGACTGACCTCCCACCCAACCAGGTATGTAGTTCAATAGTTGACGCGCCATGCTTAGACCGTTCCACTTTGAGACTCGACTCACTTCAGCAACCAGACTATGTACCGGATGATGATACCCTTTTCATTTTCATATTGACCGCCAAGGTGAATTCATGTCGTGGCAATCGATGTTCTCGGCATATCTGCCTTGCGGTCCCACTGCGGGGATAGCTGCCGCATCGACGGATTGATTATATGTCCTATAAGCCCGAGTAGGCTGTGAAAATAACCGCCTCATGCCATAGCCATATTAGGAATGGTTGGCGTAGTCCTCTCTCCCCATGCCCGCAAACACGTCCTCGTAGTATACTGTTGGGATCCTGTCCCGTTCAAGGCTCCAACTATCGTAGTTCTGAGAGTCGCCATATTCAACTGAAAATGCGGCGTCCTCGTGCCCTCGACGCAAATCTCTCGGCTCCGTTTTGCGTCTGCTGGTTCCAGACCGTCAAGTCGCCCAGCCCAACGTCCGCGAATGAAGCCTTGCGACGTCGATAGGCTTCCTGGATATGCTCTGGTCGTAAGGGAGCCTGGCGGCGGTGCTTCGATGCCTCGTTCATAGGTTGCAGCTCGTCGACGGGTAGATCGGTCTGCTTCTCGCCCTGTCGTATCCACTCCTGCTGAATCCTTCGCGCGTCTTCCACAATGTCTCCAAAGTGCATCTTGCAGACAACCTGCATCATCTGATGGACGGTTGCGGGTACAGATTGCGAGACCACGCTGTTGATGTGCTATGTAAAAATTGTCAGCAGTCGTAATCAGGGGTTATCTAAAATACCAGGTGGAATGCGATAGCTTACCCGCTTCATATCTCCTATCTTGAGAGTTTGACGATGCCAAATCTCGAATCGAGCAAACTGCAGAGCATCCATCTGCGCCTTCACCAGAGCATTGATCTCTTTCTCCTCCTCGATTTGCTCTTTCGTGCGAGCAGCAGACGTACTGGCCATGTTCTCAGGGACCTCATCCTCTTCCTCCTTTTTATCTGCACTAGCGTCTTTTCCGGCATTGCGACCGCTCGCGTTGCTCACCACTGTCGCAGCGCGACCTCCCACCACACTGGGCGATCCACCTCTCAAAGCTTCGGCGGCTGCCTCGCTCGCTCGCTCTGCCTTCGACTTCCGACCTCGTTTCTTCTTCACCGGAGCGCCGCTCACTTGGCTTCCACTAACAAGACTCATGGTATCGACGCTCGGGGATCGCTGTTGCGACGGAGAGAATGCTTGGGTCTGTGACTCATCGGGTGGAAATGATGTCTGCCGGAGGGGGTGGGCAGAACCAACGGAGGCTACCGACATGGTAGATGCCTTTCGCCTCTTCAGTGAAGGTGGTTGGATAGAATGATCAGCATTCGTAGAGCCGCGCTTCTTGGACGGCAACTGCGTGATAGAAAACGGCGGAGAGCCGGCCGGCGAGTAGGCGCGCGGAGGGGATGCCATCTCGTCAGGGAGGATTCAGTATAGTCGGCCGAAACTGACGTCGGGTGGTTGAAGTGATTTAAATCAGATAGATCGCATCCGTTTGAATCAAATGGACGTTAATTTGAGGAGTAAAGGCAACTTGGAGAAGGAGAAGAACAAGTTGAATGTCTTCGTGGATGAGATAGGTTGTTCAGGGGATGGAAATCAGAACACAAAATGATGATTGTAGATTCTGCCGGACAATTAGCAAGCCAGCCGCGCCGCATTTCACCGCCCATGTGGGGCTTACCCTACACACATTAGGTACCTCGGTACATCGAAGTACCGGAAAGTACATGGGTACGTACCTAAATTACTGGCAATGCTCCAGGGCCCCGTTCCCAAGTTCCAATGGATTGGCTCAGCCGCTGATCGATCAGGGATTCCTAGGTGGATAATGTACCCCGCGGACTTTCAGAATATCCTATCAACGCCGATAACGGGAAACTGGGAATTTATTTTCGGATAGCTGCAACTCCAAGTTTGATCTGATCTGCCTTGAGCTTCAATCGGTTTAGATGCTGCATACTATTCCAATGTTGCTGGACGTTGGTTGCGGCACAGGTAGCTACCCCAGATCTACATTACACAATCTTTTATGAGATCTTTTTATATAAGAAGCCCTTTTCCCTCCGTCCATATGCTTCAAGACATTGAGTTAATTACCGCCGAGCTACTCGACCGAGCACCCTGACGTCTGACCTCGGACACCGAAGCCAACAACTTATATGCGCCACCTCCCATTGCCCCTTGCGCTGATCAAGTATCACCTAGAGGCGAAACGCACAATGGCACAGTACGTCAACTCCAAACTGGAGTCATTTGCTTCTAGCAGTTCCGCTGCGGGCGTATCTGATGTCGACGACTCTGTTGTTGGCAGCGAGAGAAGGTCGCTTGAGGAGAGCCGAGATAGTAAAGGAGTTAGCAAGAAGAAGAGAGCCAGGAGAGCTAAAGATGGTGGTGTAACAGAGATCAATGGGCACACAAACTCCCTGAAGAGAACGGCCAGCATAAGCAAAGCTGCGCGGGATCCTAGGGATGAGCTGCCACAGAAGAAAAAGAAGAAGGTCAAGGCTGACCACGAGAGCAACGGAACAAGGTCGCCAAGCCAAGTCATTGACTTTGATGGTTTAAGCCGGCCAAGTACGTGAACCTGCAGCCGAGTTGCTGAACATTTCCACTCACAAAGACCAGGCCTTGGAACTCGGGAACGGCTCGAGGAGAGCACCGAGGAAGCAGCCAAGAGACTTGACAAGATGCGCGCGGCTGTTCGAACCCTCCTCGAATGTGTTGGCGAAGACCCAGACCGGGAAGGCGTCTTAGACACACCGGGACGATATGCGAAAGCTATGCTGTTCTTCACAAAGGGGTATCAGCAGAATGTGAAGGACATTATAAATAATGCCATTTTTCAGGAAAATCATAACGAGATGGTAATCGTCAAAGACATCGAGATCTTCAGTCTCTGCGAGCACCACCTGGTTCCCTTCTTTGGGAAGGTTGGTTCAACCGTCCTCACCTCCCTTCGCTCTATTCTAACCCTACCTACTCCAGATGCACATCGGATACATCCCGAACAACAAGGTCATCGGGCTATCCAAGCTACCGCGCATTGCGGAGATGTTCAGCCGTCGCCTGCAAGTCCAGGAGCGGCTAACGAAAGAGGTTGCGAATGCCATCATGGAGATTCTGAAGCCTCAGGGAGTGGCAGTCGTCATGGAGTCGAGCCATCTCTGCATGGTCATGAGGGGTGTCGAAAAGACAACGACAAGCACGATAACCAGCTGTGTGCTTGGTTGTTTCGAAAAGCAGGAGAAGACTCGGTATGAATTTCTGAGTCTGGTCGGGCTGAACAGAGGATACAGGTAATGTCATAGATGAAAAGATGGCAAGTTAAATGCATAATAGGCGTTTGGGGCTGGGGCGTGGGATCTCAACATCAAGCTCGTCACTGAGAACGGAGAGGCATATGCATTAGACGCGAGAGCCACAGAAGACGGCTCAACGCCTTCGTGAAGAGGTGTTGTGCGGCGTTCGAGGGAAGGTCTGCTGTCTTCAACATTTGGTCAAATGTATCATCAACTGCGCAATCTATCTTATTTCTCGAGTCTCTTCTTCTCCAACATTGCATTGCAGCTGTTACATCAGCTACCGCTGCTACAAGTCAATCGTGATCACGTCAACGTCGTTGTGGGGACGACTATGCCGTTCCCGGCTGTCACATTTCAAATCGTCCCTCATCTTTCGAACTTCGGAGCACATTGCGGTTTCGAATGTCCAGGGCTAAAACGTTACGCGGAGTGATGGAGTCCCGTCTAATTTGTAAGCAATCACCCCGTTCGAAAAAAGTCACCGTAGAATGTCACCGATGTCACCTATACCCAGTGTACGTTACCGTTACATAAACCACCAAGATTGTAATTTCGCCAAACACAATTCCCGTGTGAGATGGCATCATCTCGTCAATCTCCCCGGCTTACGCAATCGCGAGGCCCGTAAAAAGGCATGGTGTCGCCATCCTCACCATTCGGTTGCTCAGCAGAATATACCATTCCCTACTGCGATAGTACTCATCTGTTCGGTGACAGTTATGATGCGATGACAAACAATTGTGCACAGTGCCTCGGCCTCGCGTTTCGCTAAACACCAGCTCCTGTGCCAAGTCCCATAGTCTTGGGGTCGCTAAGCTCTTCACAGCATCTCATGAACAGACGGTGATATGCTTCGTTTGTTCTTAAAAAGGCATTTGGCATCCATCTTATCTGAGTTACCAACATGACATTCAAGCACTGATTCGAAACGATCAACTCAAGACACCATGAGCACCATTAGCAAAGTCGCAATCGCAGGAGTGAGTACAGATATCCCAACACTGACCTGAAGATGAAATAGCTAACAGTCTGATGTTATGTAGGCCACCGGCAACCTTGGCCCAGCCGTTTTGAACAGGCTCGTGGAGGATGGCTTCAAGGTGACAGCGCTGACCCGCAAAGGGACCAGCCACAGCTTCCCCTCCTCGGTGGCAGTCGTCGAGATCGACTACGAGTCACCCGAGTCTCTGGT